CGGAAACTGGACTATATTTTAGTAATTATTACGAAAAGGGGTAGACCTGCACTAAACTGACATGGACACCCCAGCCCACTTAATTGTGCTGATCAATTGGAATTCGCTTCAGGAGGATTGCACAACCAGTGAGGAACTCTGCAAGTTGCAAAGGTCTCCCATGCTCCACTTGAAGACCAGGAGGGAATAACTCACATTGGGTAAACACTGGAGAGGTGCCAGACCCAAAAAGACCTAACCACTGCAAAGGTCTTTCACTGGAGAAAGGACAATTGGTTACCAAAAATCTTGATTTGAAAAGTCAACATGCAGAAGCCAGAGAAATTGGCAGATGATCCCCAGTGATGGCTTTTTTCATGATAGTCCATGAAAGGTACAGTCATAGTGGTCTTGCATAAAAATTCATCTTAACAGTATGCACTTTAGAAGCCAGGGTATAGGGAAGTAAGTATACCTTGTATAAACAGTATAAATAGACTTAAACAGATTATGCAATAAAAGAGGCACTTAACCATTAAAGATGGTGAGTAGACTGGAGAAAGGGCAACTGGAGGGAGGTAATTTCTTGAGGGAGAAGAAATTGCCAGATGGCGGAAATAATGAGAGGCAAAGATTTTAGATGTAGTCCACATTCCAGCTAGGAGGATCTCATCCAAGGGTCGTCAAAAGTGCAAGAATGAGTCGAGTGGCAGATTAAATGGAATGAGATGTGATACAGCCCGAGAACATCTCCATCCAGGGAGGAATAGATGATTCAGATGAAATTACAGATCCATCTAAAAAGCACAGAAGATGAGAGAAACCTGGAAGAAGAGGAGACCCCAAGAAAATAAAAAGTGATTGTAGGAACTCTGAAAATGAGTCATGAGTGCTAAGTAACACCTGACTACCTGATCTAGACACAAAAGTCAATCAAAGACAGTATGATTATAGAGGGCTGAGACTGACAAAAAAGACATGGGGGAAAATGTAGATCTCCCTTCTGGATCACCCAAATCTTAAGAAGAAATGTGTGGTCAAGGAAGAACTGTGAAACAAAGTATGGAAGGCATCCAATACATAAAGATCAAATCTGTGATGACCACAAAAAAGAAAAAGAAGAAAATTAATTGTGAAACAGAGATGGTTTAAGGAGAAACTGGTCAAGAGTTCAAACATGGCCTGGGTAACAGCATGTACCACCACATTAAGATTCCAGTCAGGCAAAGGAACCAAAGAAGATGGTTGATAAATTGGGAACGACCAGAACAAAATGGAAAGAACAGTGAAGTCAAAGATAAAACCATAGTGAAAAAAGCAAAAGGTAATCAACAAGGCCACCCAATAGCATGCAGTGATAGAAACTGACAATACTTGGTTGAACAACCAGGTAAAGAAAGCCATGCAGGAAGTATAGGAGAGGCAAGTGTCGAGATGAATAGACACTCCATGTCCCACAGATGACTAAGTTGAGAATTGAAAATGACTCCAAGGTGGACCAAGTACTGAACTTCTAAAATTTGACAAGTCAACACAGATGAGCCACTTCTTAAAGACGTGACATGACTGAGGAGGCCTCCTGAGAAAGGGAGAGGAGGATCCAGTCCTCCATGTAATAATGTAAATGAAGTGCAAGACTGGGGATGTGGCAAATGCTGCCATGACTCAGGGATTGGAATATGAAGAAAGACATCTGAGACATTGACTGTGCTCATCTAGTCCAGAGGAAATAGAGCAACTAGGGAACCACAGATAGTGGTTGAGAGAGGAAAGGTTGATGACAGGATGCCGGGCACTGGTCTTTTTTGAAACAAAAAGATGGAAATAAAACCCTGAAGACAAGAAAAGGACCCTCTTAATGGCTTTCACGTACAAAAGATTTGATACTGTGGCCTCGAGACACCAAGGATTAAAAGGAGGGGGGGGGGGAACAAGAAAAGGGGACAAAGGACGAGACAAAAAATGAAGAGAAAGGCAGTGAGTCACTGATAGGATATGCAATGGCCAACCTGACAGGAGGGGGAATGGTGAGAGGCAGTACTGAAACAAGAAACAGAAAAAAGAAAGAGAGAGATTGTGGATTCACAGGATGAAGGAATGGGAGTGGACTCACAAGATTGTAAGAGGTGAGAAACCAAAGAAGAAAGAGAGGAATGCTATCAGGCAGCCTCAAACTGAGTCTCCAAGGTGTTAGGAGCATCCCCAAAGAATTCAGGGCAAAGAAAAGGAGCCAGACAGAGGCATGGAGGTATGAATGAGGAAGACGAATGGTAAAAAGAAGAGTGTCACATCACAGAAGGTGCCATCAACAAAGCAGAAGACAAAACCCAGGCCAAAGTACTGAAAAAGATGGACTGTTGATCCCCATAGAAACTATCAGGTTCACAGTGCAGGGCTTCATATAGGAGATAAAGAGAAGATACATAGCAAAGGAGATAAATAAGAAGGAAAAGATGGGAAAATTGAGTACTAGAAAGTGTTACCTAGGGCAGGGGTAATTTGAGTTTCTAATTCATAATAAACTGTAGACTTTTTATTTGGACATCACAAACGTAACTTGAATTAAAGCTGCATATTCAACATACCACGAGACACATAAAAATCGATATTTAGGATTTTTTTTAAATATTTACTTTTAAATTAAAAAGTTAACTAATGTATAATACTAAAATTTGAATAATAATCTAAAACTTGATACCAAACTTATTGACATAAATTCATAAAATAGTAGTTCAATAAAATTTTGAATGCAAGTCTACAAATGTGATGACATATCCTTTGACCACTGACCACAGGAAAACCCATGGCGACAGGGCTAAGGAACAAAAACAATAAAAGTATATAGAAAAAAAGGGAAAGTAGAGAACAAACCTGAGTAATCAAACCCACAAAGAGGTTTGGAAGAGGAACATCATCCTCAAGAGGTAGAGGAAACTAGTGTAAGCCAAAGAAATAGAAAGAGCAAATCAAAGTTGTCAACCTTATGGTTGGGTTCAGAAAGAGGAGAACAAACTTCAGACACAGGACAGGGAGGTGAGGCAAAGAACTCACAACACGATGAATTATGTTATTAGTGTCATCCACAGTCAAAGAGCTTCCAGTGGCCATAGAAAAAGTAAGTGCAGTGTTAGCAACATTGTCAGAACCTCTGGATAAAGTAGTATTCACCATCACTTGAGAATTCTTGATTGTTGTAGCATTCTCCAGATCAAAAACTTTTTTTTAGTTATCTAGTGGTGATGTAGCTTTAAATTGAAGTTAAAATGCACTAGCACAGTTCACATTATAACACGTCTAAGGTGGGACATAATTAAATGATAGTGGCATGTGCAAAATCTCAAAGGTAGACACACAAGAAGTAGCAAGTGTGAAGAGGTATATTGTTTTGGAAGTAGCAAGAAAGATAACGTGTTACATTTTTGTTACTTAGTATGTAAAAACACTGTTATATTTTTTTTTCTGATAAAATAATTCAAAAGGAACAAGCAAATAATTAGACTGAGAAAGATTTGCACAATATAATCCGGTAGCTGCTTACCAAGCTAAGTTCCTGAAGTTAGTGAATGTTGCAAGTTTCATTACTCACTCCATTTGTTGAAAAGGGTGAAATACTGGTGTAATCCTTTAATTTATAAAGGCAAACTTTTAGAAGCACAACATGCTCTTGAGCTAGGTCAGTTGCTTTCAAAGCCCAGAATCCACTTACTATATGCCCATAAAGTGAGAATTTACTCAATGGCCTGTTTGTACATTTTAAAGATGAATTCTAACATGGTAGGCTTGGTGCATCATCTTAAAGATTTCTACATATTTCACAATGAGAGGGTTACTGATCAATTTATGAGACAGTATATCCGTTCCTTCCTCTTCTTCTCTTATGTACAGAAATCCTTTTACAAACTAACCTGAGAGTGTATAGATTATACGGTTTTAATATAATTTTTCTAATTTTTAGCCGACTACAAAACACTTGTAACATGTTGTTGAATACAGATCATTAAACAACACACTTTCTCAAACCCTACAGTTCACACATAAGTTAAATAGTATGATCTTATTCACCTTTCTTCAACATTTTCTTGTCCATCCCACTTGTCAAGTTCTATTTCAAATCTGCTTTTATTCTGTTGACGAAAAAAGCGATAACAGCAGCAGCAACATATTATCATGGTCAGAAGGATGATTCCTCCCAATATACTCATGATGATGATCAGGGCTTCAAAGTTAGCTTGTTGAAAGGGTTTAAGGGAAAAAAAAAAACAATTAAAAATCATATGAGCAAATAAATAACAATTCACTTGCAATTAGCTAAAAAAATATCGTAATTTCACTTACTTATACAAGTGATCCAAGCTATGTTTTCCAGTGTACCACATTCATCAAAACTTAGTACAAAATGCTCCACAGGATACAACAAACATTGCTTATTCTTGTAACAATAGTAACACTAAAAAGACATGGAAAAAAGTATGTACAAAAGTACAACATAGCATAAAAAGAACACTTTTATTTTGTCTATGTTAATTTTCTTCTCTCGGATTTTAAGTAATATTAATCTGGGCCTCTGAGCAGCTTTCAAATTTGTAAATGTAAGTTGAAAATAATAATTTTAAATATATATCCACAACTATTTACTTAAAAATATAATAAACTTTATGTTGTAGCACTTATTTAGTATAATTCACAAAAGAAAATAAAAAACAATTATCAAACTTACATTCCTGCGTAGCTACAAGGAGCCTTGTCTGTAAACAATGCACTTATCCATTTTTTAAAGTTTTTATTCCCATCCCAAAGCATAGACTTACATTTGGTAAGAAGCTATGAACCTTTGAGAATTGTTCTCATGTGATTTTCCTTCTTTTTCTCCGATTTTATTAGTACAGCCTCCTTCCTTCTCTTTCATAAGCTCACAGCATGAAATGTGAGTAATTATTAATGAAGCTCAGCTTTCAAAATAGATACAGACAAAATTTCAAAACCATTGGATAAAGCAGATTATAAACTACTTATGTTATTGTACAGTGGATAGAGTTGTGTAAGAAGTAATTTATAGTTTTGTGGGAAAGTGACAAGCCCTGCTCCCAAAGAGAAAAACAATGGAACCTGAAAACAATTTTTAGTTTTTTTAGACATTCTTTTGTTCCTCTAGAATGTTTTGATGTTAAATTATCTGTGTTTGAAAGCTATGAAAATTTTCTTATACGAAAAGTGAAGTAAATCTAGCTAGTTTAGAGAATAGATGATGGCAAAATATTCCAATAACATAAATCATTATTTATAGAATATTATCATTAAGTTTACCATATTCAAACAATAAAATTACTTATACTTTATTGGAAGTCTAGTCTGACTTGATGCTATTTTGAAAGGTCAGATTTTAGGTCACTGTTAAATCTTTGTTTTTTTATGATTTATATTTATAGGGGGGCAAAGTTTTTGACAGAAGTAATGACAAACTTATCCAAATGTTGAAGAGTGGAAAAATTCAGAGACAAATGACAGCTCAATTTGAGATTGTGGTTATTTTAGTTAACAACTTGTCTGTACGTTAGTCAGCCAAAGCAAGTTCAATTACACCATATAATGACTGTTATCAACACAACACAGTCATTACAAATTGCCAATCTACTGTCCATGGACTTCAAAACAGCAACTAGAACAAAGCTAAGGATTATGTTTCCTGAGCTTGGTTTAACATAATATATGAACAACAAGAGACAATTTGGTCCTTCGAGGCTGTCTCTGCACACTCACCTTTGAGAAAAATTTAAAAACTTAAACCCACCTGAAAAATATCAGAAAATAATTAATTTCCCTAAACTGTTGTATGCCAATCACCCCATTAGAAAAATAAAATTGTCTTAACTATATTCTAGCCTGTATTTTCCAGATATTTTTAAACCTGTGTACTCTCGTACGTTTATCTTTAGAATATAGTACAAGGAAATAAAGACTTTATTCTATAACTAGAAAAACCATAACTTTACTAATTTACTAATTCCATCCCTATTAAGATCATTGAAACAAACAGAAAGAAAGCCAAATCCCAAGCACAGATACAAAAGTAATCCACTAATAAAAAGGGTCCAATGTGTTTGGACTCCATAAATGTTAACTTACTACTTTTTTCTTATTCAACAATTCTACAACCCAATTTACTAGTCTTTCTGACCAGAAGTGACAGCAACATTATTAAGTATTTGTACTTTTTACAGATGAATCACAGTTTAATGTCTTTAGCATTGGCTAATCGGTTTATGTCTACAGAGCATTATGCATATAATACAAGTACACTCAGTGAAACATTATTGAATATAAGTAGATAAATGACAATTTATTTGCAGCATGTACAAGCATATAAATGAATAAATGCAAAGATATTTAGTGATTCCAGAGGGTATATTTACTGTTGAAACATTTTTTGAATGTGGCATCCAATCCAGATAATGCTCAGTGTCATACTGCCAGGATTGCAATGGCCTACCTTGAACATGTAACCACAGAGTTCATGAACTGGCCAACAAGAAATCCTGATCTAAGTCCCATATAACACCTCTGTGACTTTCATAAATAACGTTTCTTTTAATACCTTAACCCATCACACAACAGAACTTGGCACTGCACTGATTGTGGAACTGTACTGTATGTGTATCTCCCATAATGTCAACTCCCAACCGATCAGAAGTATACAATGTATACAGAAACTATCAATGTCAGAATGTTCTACATTCATTACTGGCAATCTCATTTTCCCAAAATGAAACTTTCTGAAAATTTAGTCAGATCAACAGGTTGTAACCAGTGATAAATTGTTGATGAAACTAATTCATTAATTGTATTCAGTGAATAAATGGTGTTTCTAAAATATACCCTAGTTTCAAATATGGTTTTTATCTATTTCTTCATTTGATTGAAGAACAACTGAACTATAAAGCTTGCCTATTAAAGGTTGTGGAGTAAACGTAGCATATAATCCATTTAATTAACAATCATTTCTGTTAATAAACATCCAATAAAGACACTATTTAAGGAGTTTTCTTAGTTACATTAGATGGGAGTGATTAATCAAGGCAAGTAATTCTTAGCTTCCCATTAACAATACCTACAAGTAAGTGAAACAGTGTAAGAAAGACAATAAAAATATTTACATTTATTTAACTTTTGGTTATTTCACATAGGTAATTAATAACAGTAAAAAATGATGATGAATAAAAAACTGCACACCAAATAATTTGAAATAAGTATCTTCAAGTATCCAAATAATGCAAATATTTTTTTTTGGCAGACAGATGAAGATAATACTAAAAGCCAATCGAGAAGTGTAAAAGTTTAGAATGGGACAGTACTATTAGTTATTTCAAGCCCAATATTAAACTGAAAAAACACAAAGATTTTTAGGTTACTTGAATTTTCAATTCTTTTATGTTACTTCAATACGAAGCAAACTTTAGGCCATATAGAATAGAACAGCAACACTGAAGAAAAGAAAGTGATCCTAAAACATCATTTGGTGAAGGATACTTCTTGAATATTAAGCCTCCGAATACTTAAAAATTCTAACAAGAACAATTTATTCTTCCTTATTCCTTAGTAAACTCTAGTGCAATAGTGCTAATTTGTTTTATAGCACCCCTCTTTCTAAACATGCATTTTGTTGCCTCCCCCATATAACCTATTTATTTATACTGTACCTATCTTTTTCCCATGTTTATTGTTGTTACCATATTGCTTAATAGTATTATATTTGCACAATAGTTTTAAAATTTTATTTTCAAATCTGTTCTTTCAGTTATAATTTATATGCTCCTACAGTCATAGTTGTGTGTCCCCTACTGACTCTTTGCATCCCCACACACTAACAACAGTTTATGCACTACAGCTCTTAAGCTTTAAGGCAGTTCTCCACTGATAAAAATTACTTTTTTTTTCTCAGCCAGAAAGTTAAAAATTAAGTAACGATAACTTCCATCACTGATATAAAAGTCCTTATTCACACAAAATAATGTTATCTCAAGTTTTATTTAAAATTGATGGAGAATAAATCATATACATTTCTGATTTTTTCAGTTACTTCTACTTCTTTTCAATGAATAAAACGTTTTATTTTTGCTTAGCTACAACTAAAAATCATAAAAGTTCCTACAAGTATAGCTTATAAATTGAGTTATTCTAGTTATAAAGCTTACTGGGATCTAAATAAAAAAGCTTTATTGGCAAAATATATATTATAACAACTTAGAAATGTCACACATTTATATGTAATCAATAACTGCCTGATCAATAGCTAATATTTATTCTACATGAAAAAATAATTGATTCACAAGACCCATTTATAAAATTCAATTCTTTGGCAATAAGCTAATTTGCACTAAAATCAATCACACATTTCATATATTTACTAAACAACTCCAAAAAACACAAATTACCATAACATGAAGAAAATTTTAAAAGCACTCACTTTTGTACTGGCCTGGACACAGGTATGACAAGAGTCATTATAAACAGCACAATCTAAAAAAAGGCACATATATATGTAAATTAAAAATCTGAGTATAAAACTTATCTAATAAAGATTAGGATTAAATTCCACATGCATTTCAAAAACAAGGTTTCAAAACAGTTTTAACCAATCAATGTAAAGGGTAATTTTCATAGATACAAAAAATACATATTTACAAATAGCTATAACACTCACACAACATGTAGAAATTACAACTTGTTTTGTAAAAACTGAGTGCTTGTGTTGATTATATTTAGTGTTTCACAACACCTATTTAAATGATTGGCTATTAAAACATGTAGTGACAGCTGATTTTATTATAGATACATGAAGAAAAGAAAAGGAACTCAAATGACCACCTTTTAAATAAAAATAAAATAAAGAATTTGAAATTAATATTTTCCTACACTGAAAATATATTTCCAAAAGATACCTCTACTCACAAAATAGCTTTTCTCAATTTTCACTGCCCTCTATACCTGCAAATGTTTTCTCACCACTAGCCTTTATGCTCCCACCAACCTCCATGTGTTTGTAAATGGTATAGTTGCATTGTAGCATGTAAATAAGCATGCAAAAAACCCTCCATCAATAGGAGTGTGACACAACCTCATAGCACAGCTAATCCCACTATGCAATAAAACCCAATCTTCACTTTGAGATTAGGCACGAAAAAAACAGACCAGAGGAGGAAAGAACAGGTGGCAAGTGTGAGAAGACATAAGTATCTATCAGAAATACATTTTCAGTGTAGGAAAATATTTACTTCTGATACAACATCTCACAAAATAACTAGAAAACCCACAATGACCAGGTGGAGGGAACTGTGTAAAGGTTTTCTAGAAGAGTAACCTTCAGAAAGCATCAAAAGAGTACTGAAGGAGTGTGCCATCTCAATGTAGAAGAAACACACTCGTGGGAGACAACACCACATCTGAACCAGATATATTCTTTGCCCTTGATGAACGAATGTGTTGTGAAATGGGCAGAAAAAAAGAGGCATTCCCAAAAAGAAAAAAATGCCTTTGGTGTAGAGTGGCAAAGGTACATTGGACTAAGCAGGAGGTCAACTACAGTCCAAAACTAGCAGCACTGTGATTGGATCAGTCGGCTCACAGTAGGAGGAGGACCCTCTATCATTCAACTCAGACTCAGGAACTAGAAAGCAAAAAAGCACTTCTATTCTGAAAACTCAAGTCATCATGTGTGCATATCCAACACCTGTAACCACCAGGAACCTACATCCAGAAGATGGTAGGAAGGTGGAAATGCAATGTGGAGGGTCAACTCTAGTCCAAAACCTTGTGGCAATGGGAATGTATCTTCCAGTCCCCAGTAGGAGGTGGGTTACTGAGCACTCACATGTGAGGGGTTATGTTGTCGACACAACAATAATCACCCAGGAACTGACATCCAGGTAGCAGTAGAAAGAAGGGTTCCCAGTCAGAGGGATGAAATGCATATTGGAATGTGATGGAAAAATCCTGTCCATAATACACGGCATCTGGAATTCTACCTCAGATCTGCAGTAAGAAGGTAGTCACTCCAAAATACCAGCAGAACACCACAGCCCTACTCTCAACTAAGTGGAATTAAGCACAATCAGCAGGAAACCTCCATGGTTCACCACCTTAGTGGCTAGGAGCAGGTAAGTGGTAAGTGTAACGGGCATGTGGGCAGTCCATGAGTTTAGTTGTTGGGTTCAAAATTACACCTGTTACAAAGGAATTTAACTGGATTTTTGTTTGTGCTATCGCAAGCGGAGCACACAAGCCACAAACTCGAGAAAGTTTACACGTGGAATAAAGAACTCACACAGAGACAACTGAATATAAATGAAATAACTTCTTTATTTATACAATGTTGAACAGTTCATCTATATCAAAACTCTCAAGGTTGTCTTGAGAAAACACTACTTCTAGATCATTGAATTCTCCATTTTGAAAGTCCAGACCTTCTATTATGTTCAAGAACATGGACACAACATTAGTTAAGTTATCAATTAAGTTAACATGAAAAATCCTCTTGGTCATAATCTGTATAACTGTAATAACAATTCTTCTAAGATATCTTTAAGTAATTCCACTTTAAGCATTTTCAAATCTATTATTTCTTTAGTACAATTAATGTTCTCCAATTTTCTATCTTTATACATTATACATTGCTGAACCTTAACTCTCTCAACACAGGCTCAGTTTATTTGACCAACCATAAAGTATTTATAGATTTGATATTACTAACTTTTAATATAGTATGCACATCTTCACAAAATTTGTCAGTCTTTCAGTAAACATTATAAGTCTTTTACATGAAAAAAAAGCATATTTTTTGTGAAGTATTTTTGATAAAACTAAAAAAAAGGTTTGTCAGTGAATATCTCTAATATTTGTTTTGAATAGTCCATGTGCAAAGTTATTTTCATGTTAAGACTAAAAATACTTTTCTTTGTCTCAAAAATCTCAGATTTGATTTGTGTAATCTCTAAAACCTCCTAAATACATTTAAAATTTTTGTTTTCAGTAAAACTTTACATTTTATCTGTTATTTTCTCTACCCTAACTCTATGTTGGTCAATTTGACAGACCTTGAAATCACCAAAAAAAAATCGAAATAAATCCACATTACCCTCCTTTTCTTTCTAGAAGGACTTCAAATGTAGCATGAAACTACATTCATTTAATCTAAGTAGCTTTAAACTCATAACAGTATATATCTATTCGTAATCAAATTGTATTGTTTTATTGCCCTTTGAACCTTATCTAACTACTATTCACAAAATTATAATTTGTAACTCACTTGGGGAACATGCAGCTCATGTTACCCTATCAAATTACATTACCCATGAGCTCCTTGTATGCATGCCTCGTGAAATATTTTTATTATACTATTATTATTGTTTATTTTACCTAATCTAACCTCAACTAACTTAAGGAGATATCTATTTTTACATTTTAGTTACTTTTATAATAATAAATACAGAATAAACATGAAAAACAAGAAATAAGTTACTTACCCAATCTTCTTTTTCTTGCTGTCAATTGTCAATGAGACTTAATCCTAATTTTTTTTACTAACGTTAGTAGTGCATTAAATAATGCACCAAAGAACATGGACTAATAACAGGCAAAATGCAGGCAATTTCCTCTAACTCTAAATTTTTCTGGCTTTCTAACTATGTGACAAGAACCATTACGTATTCATCTAAGCTAGTCGAGAACTTTCACACAGGAACAAATCTTGTACTCTGAGTGAAACTGACGATATTCTGTTCAGAACACAACATTATAAAATATGTCATTTGATAGATGAAAAACTTGACTTTCTATTGGTTATAGGTAATGTATAATTAAACGTAAGAGAGAACTTTTAACAAATCCTGAAAGAGAGGATGTGACAAGTTGGTGTGGCAGGAGGGTCTGATTTTCTATTTGATAGCTCTGTAACCAAACAAAATTGAAGGCTATACAAATTAACCACAAATTATATTTAAATTATACAATTATAGTTGCAACTCTGACTAGTTAGGCACATCTATACCTGGTTTCACTTTAACTGCCATTATTTACACCACCCATACTCATGTTAATGTGACACAACAGTAAGAAAATCAATGCAGATGAGTGTATAAGCTGGTAAATCATGCGTATGAGCACCATATAAATTACTGGCAGTTGCTAAATCACATTTAAAAACCTGATAGGTTTAACTACACGAACACTACAGGAGACAAGTCTGAAACTGCTCGAATTAAAATCACACACACACTGTGGAGAAGGGTGTAATCATAACATATTATAAGCCTAGAGGCTCAAAGGCTATATTTAATATTAAAGGTTGTGATAGAATGAGAAAACTTAAATATAGGCTAACTAATTAGTGGTGCTAGATTACAGTTCCTAGATTAATTTGCTAGTACATCTAGATCTAACATTAATGTTAGACCTGTTATTTCCATCTTTTTAGTCTTAAGTTTGGATCTAGATATAATAATAATGACAGAAATTTAGCTTTATACATCTAAACTACACCTTAGATTTGGGTGCATAGATTGAAAGCACCTTGTATTGAATCTACCCAGATCTAGACATAACCCTGCCTCATCAATTCTACATTTAGATTTATTTGGCTTAGCTTTTAGAACAAATGTTACATCTAGATCTATTAACTTAGTCATTAGATCTGTCCCAGTGCAATGCCTAATTTAATAGTTAGTATAGGTCTAAGTATGCCTATAATATAAGCTACAATTTGTATGATGATGGACCTAGGGTCTAGAAATAAAGTTATAACTGCAATTAGACCTAAAGCCTAGTACATTAGTTGGTGTAAGACATGATTTACAATCAGCCAATACAATTACAAACCACTACATTAGGCCTATAATATTTACTAGATCTAGATCTAAGCCTTGCCTGTTGCATATATTGCCAATCTTGCACACCAGTTAATATGTTACATCAATCTTGTATTTTCTTTTTGTTGAACATACACTTACTTGTACGTTGTACTCTAGGACTTTTTTTGATCTACAGATGAATGATGGAATAGTCTAATTTACTTCTGTACATCAATTCGATCTCACTGTATTACAGTGGGCGGCTTTTTAAAGTTAAAGCTGCAAGCGTAATACACACAAATAACGTAACACTGTCATATTTACTTAATGTAGGGCAGTTGCATTATATCCTAGGGGAGGGCATAATTATTAATTAATAGGCATAATAGGCTATAGGAAATTTTGCGTCCTTTCACACCTGCACCCTGAAGCAACTGCCCCCCTTGCTATGCCACTGGAGTAATGTTGTTCATATTAAAATCACAAAATAATGATAGCAATGATAATGAATTAGAGAAGAAGAATCAGAAAATGAAAAACCTAATTTGATAATAAGATTATCCACAATAACAGTATTAGATACTTCTCAAAAAATATCATTAAATCACAAATCAAAGACCAACCTAACAACTCTCTCTCATCCTTAGTCTAACTTTAAATCTTTGAATCTTTTAT